ACACAGGTGGTTACAAAAATAACAGTAAGATAATTTTCATGGCAGCACTTAGTTCCCTAAGGATCGCAAAGAAGCAGCTGAAGACTTTCCCATCATTAGGTTTAGCTGCACCAAGCACATCTGCCCTTAGAGCCAGCATTTTTGCTGCTGTTACAATTTTTTTTTTTTTTATCTACAACAAAGACTTCAGCTCTGGGAAAGTTTTCTGTCTTTCCCAGGCTTAACATTTCTATGTGCTAGGCCCTGTGAAATACATTTGCTTTATTAATGTTGGTATCCTCCACAATTCTCATTCCACGTGGGGATGGCCTTACCTCTGGCATCACACTAAATCCCCCTTTTTATTCAAATGGGAGCCCTGCATTGGCCACTATAGCCGCCTCAGGATTCATAAAGAAGGGGACAGAAGTTAGCTTACTGTTAGGGGTTCTAACTGAGGCCCCCATCTATATGATATGCTTGCACTTACTGATAATATCAAAGGCCAAAATGTATGGTATTGCCCACTCAGGGAAATGCCCAAACCAGGGGTGGTGTTGGCCAATGGTTATCAAACAGCAACTATGTTATTATCAGATAGAGACTTACCTTGTCTAATACCTTTAAGAACATTTGTCTTATTGCCCTTAGCTTCCTCATTTCCAGGTTCCCTTCTGTGACATCAGGGAATGACTTTCTGTCCTGGGCTGCCATCTTTGCTGAAGCTCACAACCTATCGGACTGCTGGGTGTGTGCTTTGCTGCCAATGTCTAGTTCAGAAGGGATGCCATGGAAGGTTATCCCCTTTAACAGAACTGAATGGGAACTCTGGGTGGAAATGGTGACTACTCACCCTAAGGAACCTTTAAGAACCTTAAATACTAATACAAAATCCACCACACTGTTTAATCTGAATGACACAAAATAATATGTATATTCTTTAGTTAGACAGAGAGCTAATGTTTCAAAGGTACCTAGAACCTATCATGTTTGGGATGGACTAGGATTGATATGAGCTGAACATGGAATTTTGGGTTCCATAGCCGATTTCTACATTGAAAGAATAAATCACCTCCAGATATCTGGTCCTAGGGCCCTCACAGAGATTGGCAGATAAGATTGTGCAGGCCACTTGGGTGTTGGGAGGTGGAGTGTAGGAATGCTAGTCAGAACTCACTCTATTCTCATGGCCTTCAGAGCTCTGGCTTTAATAGTTGCCATCTTTCCCAATAGTTGCTTAGAAATTGAGGAAGGGAAAGTAACAGAAATGTTATCTTTGTGTAAGATAAGGGAAATGATGTTAGCAACCCCAAGGATAAGGAACAGGAGGCTGTGAGGTGCCTGGGAATTTTCCACCTCCACAGTGTTTCTCTCTTTGGCAGAGCTCCACTTTTATCCCGAAGTCCTTTATAAGCTTCAACTGCTCCCCGCTGGGGTTGTGGAGAAAGCAGCTGCACAGCATTCAGATGGATCGATATTCCTCCTGACCCCTGTAAGTAACCACCCGTCGAATAATAATGACAACAGTAATAAACTTGTAAACTGTATGGAGTCACCTGTTTCATTCTTTGGTCTCAGGATACCTCCTCAGTTTGGTGGGCATTAAACAGGTGGGTCACACTCAGACATAAGCCTTTGAAATGCCATCTGTTATTTCACCAAGAAAACAATACACACAAATCCTGTTTTAGTTTTTTTAACATGCTTTTCTTTCTAAGTTGGAAATGCAGTGTGTTATCATTACACAATGGAAGCAATAAAAACATTATTAACTATTTTTATTAATTATTAATTTTTACATTCTTTTCTCTAAGTCTTTGTAATGCAGTATGTTATTCCAACATGGAAGCAATAAGAACAAAATTTATTTAATTTTAATTATTTTTTTACTGAGTATGAAAAGCAGTATGTTATCATTTTAACAGGGAGACAGTATAAACACATTAACTACTTCTACATTTTTCTTTATTACTAAGTCTTTAAAATGCAGTCTCTTCGACATGATTTCCATTCCTCTGGATATATACCCAGAAGAGGGATTGCTGGATCATATGGAAGATCTATCTGTAGCTGTTTGAGAAACCTCCAAATTGTTTTCCAAAATGGTTGTACTAATTTACAGTTCCACCAACAGTGCAGTAGTGTTCCCTTCTCTCCACACCTTTGCCAGCATTTGTTATTCACCGTCTTTTTGATCATAGCCAGGCTAACTGGAGTGAGGTGGTATCTCAATATGGTTTTAATTTCCATTTTCCTGATGATTAGAGATGCTGAGCATTTTTTCATGTACCTGTTGGCCATTTGTATTCCTTCCTTTGAAAAATGTCTATTCAGTTCCTTTGCCCATTTTTTAATTGGGTCATTTTTTTTTAACTGTATAATTGCTTGAGTTCTATGTATATTCTGGATGTTAGTCCCTTGTCAGAAGCATAGTTGGCAAAAATTTTCTCCCACTCTATAGGTTGTCTTTTCACTCTTGATTGTTTCTTTTGCTGTGCAGAAACTTTTTAGTTTGATATTTGTTTATTTTTTCTTTTGCTGCTTGTGCTTTTGGGCTCATGTTCATAAAGCCTGTGCTCTGACCTAACTGCTTAAGTGTTTCACCTATACTTTCCCTTAGCAATTTTACAGTTTTGGGTCTTATATCTAGGTCTTTAATCCATTTTGAGTTGATTTTAGTGTATGGTGAGAAATGAATATCTAGTTTCATTCTTATGCATATGGATGTCCAGTTTTCCCACTGCCACTTGTTGAAGAGGTAATCTTTTCCCCAATGTACATTTTTGTTGCCTTTGTCTAATATCAGATGGCTATAAGCCTGAGGAGTGATTTCTGGGTTCTCTATTCTACTCCACTGGGTCTGAATGTCTATTTTTATACCAGCACCATGCTGTTTGGGTTACAACAGCTTTGTAGTATAATTTGAAGTCAGGCAGAGTTATGCCTTTGGCTTTGTTTTTTTTTTTTTTTTTTTGCTCAGGATTGCTTTGGCTATTCGGGGTCTCTTGTTTTTCCATATGAAAGGTAAGATTGCTTTTTCCATTTCTGTGAAGAACGTCATTGGTATTTTGATGGGGATTGCATTAGAAGAGATAACTACACTCCCGTGTTTATTGCAGCTCTGTTTACAATAGCCAAGATATGGAAGCAACCTAAATGTCCATTAATAGAAGATCGGATAAGGAAACTGTGGTATATATACACTATGGAATACTACTCTGCCATAAAAAAAGAATGAAATACTCCCATTTGCAACAACATGGATAAACATGGAGAAACTTAAGTTGAGTGAAAAAAGCAAAGCACAGAGGGATAAATACCTCATATGATCACTCATATGTGGGAGCTAAGAGAGAAAGGAAGGCAAGAAAGAAAGACCACAGTAGTCCATGATCCAATAGAGGGAGGGAACATTGCTAGGGCTACAAATTGAAGTTGAGGGGAGAGGGGGAGGGAGGTTGGGGGATAATTGGAAAGGGACAAAGGGTATAAAAGCAATTTCTAGTAATGGGTATGTCCCTAAAAGGAATCTGGTCACAACATCATGGGCAGGATGGCGGACAATCATCTTTGTAACTCACGAATATTTGAAATTAATTAATTATTTATTTGTTTAACTAATTAAAAAATAAATAAAATGCAGTCTGATTTCATTTAAACAAGGGAACGCTGTACATTAATTTTTAATTAGTTACTTTTCATTCATTTTTGTTACTAAGTCACTGACATTCTGATGACATTTCAGCATGTAACTCATTAGAAAAAATTATTAATTTTGCATTTTTCTTACAAAGTCAAAATGCAATATTTTACCATTTCAATGTGTAATCATATAAACAGCTTTTTAATTAGTTATTTTAACACTCTTTTCTCTTACTAAGTCTTTGAAGTGCAGTGCTCTCACTTCAACGGGTAAACGATATGAACAAATTACTGCTGTAAGAACAGAGGGAGCAAATGCATATGGAACGATGGGGACCATGAAGGGAACATACATGGTACATTGAGAGAGAGCTACAACATGGTGAAGTAGGGGAAGCACCGGAAGTAAGGGAAGTGCAATAAGTAAAGGGAAGTAAGAGAAAACCTCTCTGAGGAGGTAACATTAAAGCCATGAATGACCTGAGTGTTGAGGAGCTATTCCAGCAGCATAAAGAGGCCAGCGTGGATTGAAAAAAAAAAAAAAAAAAAAAAAAAACCCTGGGGTCCAGGGGGTTTAAATAACATTCCCAAAAGCCCTAGGAAAGAGTAGGGGAACAGACAAATCATAGGAACAGGTGTATTCTGAGTGGCTTGAAGTGGGGGCTTTGTCTTATTTGCCTTTTTATGCTCAGCACCTGGAACAGTACTGAACTAATAAGAGATCCTTGGTGAATGGGTGTGATATAAGGAACGACTGAGCCACAGGGTTCTAAGACCTAAGAAGGGAGGTAGAAACATACTGATGAAGACACCAGTAGGTATGGACATAGGTTTTTGTTTTTTTTTGTTTCCTTTTAGATGCAAATAGTTTCTCATAAGCAGCCTAAGGCCATCATAAGTATGAGAAGTTTAAAGAAACTTGGAGGGTAAAATTATTGGCTTCAATAACCACCAACTATTCCAAAATATCATCAAGAAAAGGTTTCAGCTCTTGACTTGTGTCAAGTACCCGTAAGTGAACCAATTAGTCTGGACAGGGAAATGGTATACCATGACTAGGTCAGCCAATGTCACGTACCCAACACTGTGGTCAGGAGCAAGGAGGAGGATTTGGAGGACAATGGGTAAGAGACCCATAGGACCTCTCAAAGCCCTCTGTTTTCTTTAGAGTTCTTTATTTTTATAGAGGTCAGTTACACATGGGATCTTCCTAACGCGAGGTTCCTGGAGCTATAAAATTTTACATGTGTGTCTCTAAAACTTGGGCTGCAGGTGAGAACACTACGTGCTTTAATGGCCACACATCAGTGTTTAAACAAGTCCTTGTACCACAAAAATCACTCAGGAGAAGTGGTCCAGTAGTCCTTGTACCACAAAAATCACTCAGGAGAAGTGGTCCAGTGCATGTCATTCCGCTTTACCACCTGCAGCATTGCCTTCAATTGGGCCTGCACTTCAGAAAGCTTCAGTCGGTTCAAACTGCCAGGATCATGCAATCGTTCATAGCAATGGACAGGGACAGGATAAATAACACGCTTCAGCTCCGTCAGGTTTGTTAAGTGCTGCAGAAGACTGGTGAGCGCACGCATTGTAATGGGGTTGGAGGTGAAGCTAAAGACACGGAGGTGGGAACAGTGGCTCAGGGCCGGAATGACAGCAGTGAGAGTGGAATCAGTCATCAGACAATTATCTATCTCTAGATGCTGCAGCGTGCCTGAGACACTCGCCAGCAGAGTCTGGAAGGCCTCAGAATGTTCCCAGGATATCTCGTTGTTGCAGAGACTCAGCAATCTTAGATGGGGGGCTGCAGGGCTCTGGGACAGGGCAGTGATGTCTCTGTTAGAAAGTCCACAGAAAGAGAGATACAATGCATCCAGCTGAGGTGGCAGGCATCTGTAGACAGAAAAAAGAAAGGTATTTCTGCACAATGAGGATTGGACCAGGACAAGGAGTCCTGAGTTGGAGGTATCTACCTACGGCTCCAGAATAAACTGATTTGCACATATGTTGCAACAGCAGTTAACAATGTGGGCTTTGGAATCAGACTCTAAGAAAGTTACTTTTACACTCTGAGATAAAGTTTTTAAAATCTTCAAAACATGCACAATAGCAACTATTATGTAGAGTTGTGGGAAAGATTAAGTGGAAAAAGTTTTAATGCACTTAATACTTACAATGTAAACAATGGTGGATTTAGTTTAGTTATTTGGTGGGGAGGGAACTGGGAAAGCAGTCCACTAAGGATTCCCTTTGACCAAAACCCAAATGACAAGTTCTCTATTCAGGGCCTAACGCTTGTGTAAAATACAGGAGCAAAATGATCTGACAGTATTAACTGTTCTGGCCAGACCATGATGAGGTGCATCAGTGCTACAGCATAAAACATTTCCCCCTCTGAACGTCTCCCCTTCCTCCCTAAAAGGCTGTAAACTCCAAGGGGAGAAGAATATGTCTTTTTCACCAATGTATCTACAGACTTATCATGGTGTCTGCACATGGTTGACTGACTGAATGAATAAGCACAGCTTACTTTTCTAGTTTCTCTAGCCTGGCCAGTTTCATATTCCCAGCAGTGGCCATGCTGAAGTGGAAGAAGAAATGTGTTATGAGGAGATTAGGAATATCCAAGAATGGTTGCTCTCCTGTCTTAACAATGGGGTGGTTGAGGGGATCCAGGTCTTCCCCAAGCTCCTCACCTGAGCAGTTTGTGAAGGCGATGTGTGTGGCAGTAAGACAAGCTGATCTCCTGAAGGGTGTCCATCTGCACAAGATGGGCAAGAAACGTCCCAAAGCTTCTCCTCATAAAAGATGTAAAAGGGATGTGAGACATACTAAGCCTGTGGAGGTGGGTCATCTGAGCCAAAAGTGGGGTGGCTTCATTCAGATAAATCTCATCCACTTCCAGGTGATCAATGCATCCCATATCCAGAAACTGCAGGACATATTCACGAACAGGCATTTTATCAATTTGCATATATCTGCAGCAGAGGTGCAAAGTCCCAAAGCTCTGCTCAACTTTACTCCGAAGTAAAGAAAGAAATCGCGCCGTTCTCCAGGTACCATCAAGGGAAACATCCACTAATAATTCCATGGATTTCCTGGATGACTGAGGCTCAGACTCTGAATTTACATTTCCGGGGCACCTAACTCTGTGTTGGGCTTCTTCTATTTTCATGATAGAGTGCGGAGAGTGAACACATGAACGAAAACAGTAAGGGAATGTGGTCCTGATCTCAGAGCATGTGGTCCTGCAGCCTGGATCCTGCCTTAAATCTAGAATCCTCAGTTTTGGCCCGCTGTAAGGAGAGGAGGAGACAGAATATCTGAGAGGTAGCTGATTTTAATACAACCCAGCAGGATCAATCAGGGGAAGCAGAAACAAAATCCCTTTATCCCTGGTCTTCATTCCATACACCATTTACCAACAAGTCTTTTTCCACAAAAATTTAGCATCTTTCTTTCTTTTCCCCACCTTTTTTTCTCTTCTGATAATTCCCAGCCTCAATGCCCATTTCCTTCTTCTATGTAATCATATCCCATAGGTAAATCTATTAATAGTATCCACAGTTCCTTCTATACCATAATCAACTCGGTAAGACATTAGAGTCCTTAATGTGACCCCAAACGTTCCACTGACTGCTTTACAGAGATCCTCAGGATTCACCAATAACTACTTTTCAAAGACGGTTAAGCCTTCTCCTACCCCAGGCTCCAGCATACCCTCCTGCTGACTCACTATGTCTCTATTATATATAGTCTTACCTAAAAGAAGAGAACTGGGCAGGAAGGATCTGCAGGCCATCAATCATGGCTTCCAAATTATCATATTGTGACTCCTGTACTCTCAATTTTCCTACGTGGAGACAGGGAAATGGCCAATTCCTCACCATTGCCTTCAGTACCTTCTTATGACCGCCCAAGAACGCAGCAGTGAGAAATTGAACAAACATGTCTCTTGGGAGCTCTTCAAGGGCATGGATAGCTGCAGGCTCATTACTCAGCAGACTTTTTGTAGCAAACTCTAGTAGTGTGGCTGGGGTCTTTTGGTCCATCTTTTTGAACCTGCTTCAGAGTGAAGAGGAGAATAAAACATGTATTTCTGCCACAAATGCATAACTTCAATCTAATCATAAGAAAACATCAGATGACCCCAAGTTGAGAGACATTCTACAAAATACCTGACCGGTATCTTCAAAACTGTGAGGCTCTGAAAGACCAGTGAAGACTGAGGGACTGTCAGCCTGGAGCAGAGTCGGCAGAAATGACAGTCAAATACAATGAGGTATCCTGAATGGGATCCTAGGATAGAAAAGGACATTATGTGATAACTGGTGAAATTCAAATAAATTCTGTATATTAGATATAGTAGTATTACATTGATAGTAATTTTTTTAGTTTCGGTAATTTTTCTATGGCTATATGAGATGTTAACATTAGGGAAATATGGACGCAGGCTCCCTGTACAATTTTTTCTGCAACTGTTCTGTAAGTCTAAGTTGTTTCAAAATACAGAATGAAAAACAGACAACATCAGTGGCTAAAGGGATGGTTATCTATAAACCACACTGTTTAACAGTTTAACCAGTTGAAACAAAGTTAGGGGGATGGATAGAAAGATGGATAAAGGTTCACAACAAATCGTTCATTACCACCAATTGTGAATATACCCCGTGCCCCCCACGTATAATTACAAAATCAAATTGCTTTAGAGAGGCCATTATAAGAAAGAAATGAAAGCAGTCATCTTCAACATGCAGCTGCTCTTCAGATGAGAAAATCATTTTTAAGCATAAAAGAAATGAAATACAATATAAAGGGAAATATCTACACAATTCAGTACTCACATTTAAAACCCTGACAAATCAAAAGTAACCACAAACAAAACGACGGTGCAAAGGAGAAGCATAACTTTTTGAAGAAGAGAGAAAGGCTGTCTGAAGAATTTGAGAGCACGCATGAACTGATTAGCCACGCAATTGAAGCTAATCACTCATGAGGCCTCATAGAGGGTGGGGTGGAAAGTGGACCACTGAACAGCTGGACTGCCTTTCCTACTAATCTGTAAACCTTGACCCTAGGTAATTTACGCCGAAATAGGTTTAATTTACAGAAAAGATATTGTTGTACTTAACCTAATTGGAAGAAGAAGAGTCAGAAAAAACTTGTGAAATGTCCAGGACCGCAGCTCTTGGAGTCCCTTTCTTCCTCTTAGGAGCTTGCCGCAAACAAGACCCCAGCCATGGTGGCCCCCATGTCTTAACCGTCAGTTTCTTCTCCAAGCGAAAGCATCCTGGAGAGGACTTGCATTGGCTAACCCTGGGTCACGTGACCTGCTTCGACCAATCAGCTTCATACTAGGAGGCGGGGCTTAAGGAACCACATTCCCTTCAGCTCGATGCTGGTGGAAAGATTCTGAGCACGTTCCTGCCCCACCGGCTAAGATCTTCCGGGAAAACTGTCACTGCCTGTGGTCTGGGCACTGCCTGGCCAGGGATTCTACCAGGCAGGGTCTCAAGCCCAGACAACTAAAGTCCAAATTTAGTGGACGTGTAGCAGGGGGTGATAACTTCAAAATGAGTAGGCACTTGATGACAAAAGGCTGGCAGGCAGTGGTGTCCCTGGTTCTCTGGTGGATTAAGAAGGGAATCGAGACCAGACCAAAGACAGGAATAATGTGTTCTGACCTCTGTGCAGTGAAGCCAGCATAGGACTTACACTTGTGCCTGACAAAGACAGCACGAAGGAGAAAACTTCCACCCATCAAATAATGGTGCTATCAATTGCAGGATATTTGTTTACATGTCCAATCCTCACCTCCCACTCCTGGTTCCACTTCTTCCCTATCTGGTTTTTATTTCTTTTACACAGCATTTACCACCTTTGGGATACAATTTATTTTACTCATATGCTGTCTTTGTTTTTTATTGTCTTGTCTCCCGTGGTGGAAAATACAAATTCCAGGAGGGCAATAATCTTTGTCCATTGCTCATTAATGTATTCTAAGTGCCCAGAGCAGTCCCTGGTTCAATGGATACTTGAATATTTGTGAAATGAATTAATGATTTTTTTCTCCAGCCACACTAGCCTCCTTTTGTTCCTCTAACACATACTCACCAAGCATACCCCTATCCTATTCCGAGTTTTCCTGTAACACTCCGCCCCCACATGTCCCTACAGCCACCTTCCTTATTTAATTCACATATATGCTCACCTTATTAGATGTGTCTTACGATTCCTCGTAACAATTACCATGCGATTGTGTCGTTTAGTTTTGCTGTTGTTTTCTTTCTTAAATGTTTCTTTCTTTTATTCTAATTACTATTAGAAGTAGTCCAGCTACGACTGTTTTAGTTTTTGCAATACAGCGTCATCTTTTAGTAGACGGGGTAACAGCATAAGGTATCTTAAGACTGATTCCGTAGCTTTAAACCTCAGGAGCTACATGAACATGGCCAGGAAAACTCTTCAGAGCTTTCGTTATCGATCTTTAAAATGGGAATAGTAATATTAATAGTAATGTCAATTTCATCAGACTGTTGATAGGGTTTCATTCCGATGATGTATATATAGAGCTTAGCAAAACACTTGAACTTATTGATAAGTGGATGATGATAATAATTGTCATTGGTCAAGTTATCAGGATTGAGGGTCAGGAGGTCTGGGTTTCTTCCCAGTGTCTATCTCTTGAACATATTTTGCGAATTCCAAGAAGTTGCCTTAAGCCTTAAACCACACTGCGCTTTAAATTGTGCTTCAGTCGAAAGGAACAATAAGCCTTGTCAATACTATTTATCAGAAGAATGTTAAAGACAGCATAAATCTTTAACTCATTATGAACTTGGTATTATTTTTAAATGGGTGATAGAGAGTTGAAGTGCTTAGGGTGTCCAGAAGAAAAGTAATTTCCAAAAGAAACCTAGGAAGGGATGATTAGAAAGCCTATCCTCCCTCCCTCGAAGGACAGGACACCAGCCCAACCTAATGTCAGATACTGCCTGGGGAACCCTGAACAGAAAGCAATTTTGAAAGGTGAGATTAGAGTGCCCCTTGTACTGAGGGCAGCCAGGCAGGGTAGGATGAGAAAGCACTTAACCCTGTCTCTAGGTGAATCATTGGTTGGTCAGAACAGCACAGAGACTTTTTAAAAGTAGAGTTTTAAGGTAGTGTTGCTCTTTTATGTTCCCTTCTCTCTTATATCCCCTAAAAGAATTTTAAAACAGACTTCTCTATTTAAAAAAAAAAAAATTTCAAAGGATATAATTTCTGGCATCTTGTATATTTATATGTGCTAAAATTACACTTTTTCTAAACCTTGGTGCTGCATATATAGTTTAATCAATTTATGGAACATGTTCAGCAGATGACTTATTTGGAAATTTAGGCCTCACTGAAAAAACAATATTAAATCTGATCAGAATTGTTCTTTGTAAGAAAAACTCTAATTTCATTTTTCAGTTTAAGTAAATTGTGTGAATGACTCATTATGACATCTTCCTTCTGAATCCTAATTCTAAGGTTAGTAGTGAGATAGTAAGAAAGACAGAAAGCTAAAAAAAGGGAACCCACTTTTCTGTCACAAAACTTTATTTCAGCATCTTTGCAATTTCAATAGGAGAGGAATGCACCATAGATGCAGGGTGGATTAGGAGATTTTTTAACTTTTTACTTCAAAATAACTGTAGATTTACATGCATTTGCAAGAAATATTGCATAGGGATCCAAGGTACATTTTATCCAATTTCCGCCAATGTTAGCATATTGTGAAGTTATAGTATAATATCAGAACCAGGATACTGACGCCAATGATATCCATTGATCTTATTAAGAATTTCCCAGTTTTACTTGAGTGTGTGTCTGTATGTGCGTGTTTATTTAGTTCTATGAAGTTCTATCACATGCACAGGTCCATGTATACACCACAATAGACAACGTAATGTACAGTTTTATAATCAAAATAATCCCTCGACTGGTGCCATTTTATTACCACACCCATCTCCTTCCCAGAACAATTCCCCATACCTACCTCCTGGAAACTACAAACTGTCTCCATTTCCAATATTTTGCCATTACAAAAATAAATAAATGGAATTGTATGTAATTTCAGGGATTGGCCTTTTTTTGTGTGTGTTTTTTACTCACCATATTTCCCAGGTGATCCATCAAAGTTTCTGCATTTGTCGAGAGTCTGTCACTTTTTATTGTTGAGTGGTATTCCATGGTACAGATGCACCAGTTTGTTTAGCCATTCATCCATTCAAGGACATTTGGGTTATTTCCACTTGTTAGCTATTTACAAATAAAGCTACTGTGAACAATCATGTCCAAGTTTCTGTATGAAATTAAGTTTTCAATTCTCTGGTCTAAAAGCCCATGAGACAGATTTCTGGCTGGCATATTAAGTTCATGTTTAATTTTTAAAGTAACTGCCATGCTTCTTTCCAAAGTGGCTGAAACATTTTACATTTCCACCAGCAATGTATGAGTGATCTAGTTGCCCCAAATCTTCAACATTATTTGGTGTTATCACTATTTTTTTTAGCCGTTCTAGTATATGTGTAGTGATATCTCACCATTCTATTAAATTGTATTTCTCTGATGTCTGATGATATTGGAGACGTTTTCACATGCTTATTTGCCACCTGTATAACTTCTTCCATGAAAAAAAAATTGTTTTCTTGTCTTCTGCCCATTACTAGGATCTGAACGTTTGTCCCCTCCATAGCTCACGTGGGAGCTTGAGTCCTCGAATGTGGCAGTGTTGAAAGGTGGAACCTCTAAGAGGTGATAAGGTTGTGAGGACTATGATCTCGTGAATGGATTAACCCATTTATGAAATAATGGGTTAATGGTTTAATGGGTTCTCATGGGTGTGGACTGGTGATTGCCTATGCTGCCACAGGACTCCGTAGAGAGTTTCCACCAGGAAGAAGGCCCTCACCAGTTGTGCCCTCTAGACCTTGGGCTTCCCAGCCTTCAACACTGAAAGAAATAAAAAAAATTGTTTTCGTGTCTTCTGCCCATTACTAGGATCTGAACGTTTGTCCCCTCCAAA